GATTAACCATGAAAACTAAGGAAAGGAAGGACTGGGGATTATTTAGCAATACCAAAAACAACAGTGTCGATGGTATTACACCTTGTATTGTAGTATGGAGTTGTGGCTGTGCAGATTATGGAAGGTTAACAGCCTACATTTAAAGTACTATTGCGTAACAGGAAGCCTGCTTGGCAGTGTTAGGTAAGAGCTGGACCGCTAAAGGCAAGGTTGAGTGGTTCAAACCCACCAGCTGCTTCCAAGGAGAAAGTTCAGGCAATCTGTTCCCCTAAAGAGGTACAGCCTTGGACACCCTAGGGTAACTGATGCTGTGGCCATAGGTGGGGTTTAGTCCGAGGTTATGCGTCTCAATGATCCCATGGAAACGCTACGGCTCTAAGAACATGGGCCAGGGTGTCTACCTGGGGCTCTCAAAGACACAGATCCTGGGCCCTGCAACTGCTGGCGGTGGTAGCAGCAGCGACATCGCCCCTCTGCTCCCCCCAGTGGCCCTGGTCCCACCCCCTCCCAACATCATGTCCTGCCGGGATCAGACCCAGGAGTTCCTGTCTGCCTGCAAGTCCCTACAGAGCCGTCAGAATGGAATTCAGACAAACAGTTCCTGGGCCATGGCAGCCACCTGACAGGGGGCGGCAAGGAAGGGTTCATGGAGGCCTGAGGACAGTGCAGGGCGAGAGGGGCTCACACCGGAGACCCTCTGCTGTGGGACAGCACTTTCCCGCTGGGCTGACAGTGCTCTTGTGAGCATCACTGTCCCACTGTCCCTTTCCGTCCGCTTGCCATGGTTGAAGCACACTTGTCTCTGACTCCTGGCAAAGAAGATTTACGGAAGCTGATGACGAGGCGCAGGTAAAGAGCACAGAGTTCAAAACTCTACAATAACTAGAAAGATAGTTTGTGATGGATACCTGACTTCATCACCCATTCAGTTAGGATATAGTCTCCAATTACTGCTTTGTGGAGGGGCTAAACTTTTTCTTTTTATTGGAAAATAAATATGCAACTTAGTAGTTAAACAAAGGTTAAAAATCAAGTTCACACAGAAAAGAAATGTTTCTCTACCAGAAGTTCAAATCGTTTATGGAAGTCTGGATAATAAAGGTCACTGACCAGTTCTCTAGTCTGACAATTCATCTTAAGATTTCTAGCTTACCTTCCTAACTTGGTGGGAACTTCCAATGTCCCATTAGTCGACAGACTGAGTTACCACAGGACTTCTCCGAGCCTGTACTATAATCATGCGCAACGAGGCTCTCCAGGCAGAAGGCAGCCCTGCTGGCCGTTTGTGCTGATGGTACCTTTTTGTTCTCTTTGGGAGCATCTATGGATACATTGCAGAGCTGCCCTTAGAAAAACACTGTTATCTATTCTGAAGTCCTAATTTCATTTAAAGGTTAATAATCTCATGCCTTACACACCCCACAGAGGCCACCGCACAAGGATATTCATGGCAGCATTGCTTTGACTAGTTAGAAGGTTCCAGGAACCTAATTGGCCGGTTGTGGGCTGAGATACCATGCAGTATTGAAGCAGTGAGGCCCATCTGCACATACCTCTGTGGACATCTCACAAATGAAAACCAAGGAGCTTGCATGTCTACTTTTAGGGACAAAAGTCGTGTGCTAGTGCACACACATGTACATGAAAAGGAGCGTCCGGAAGGCTACCCACAAAGGTCGAAGGGCTTTGGTTTCTGGTGGGCGGTGTTGTAAAGAGGGGCTGTGGACATGAAAAGCCATACTTTGTATTTCTCACTTGAAAATTTTAATAGCATGTATTTAAGATGTTTATAAAGAAAAAGGATGCCCTATGCAACCACGAGGTGTCGAAGGGATCAGGTATAAGGCATCATCAGAACAAAAAATCTTACCATAGTGAATGATGGGGGGAGTG